ATTTGGGAGTCTCTGTGCACTTGCGGGATACTCCTAGTCTTAGCAACTGGATGAATGTAAAGGAGGATTAAGCAAAATTGTTTCTACTCTATAACTAATGTTCTCAACTCACAGCAATAAAACTTTACAATGAGTGCAACAGTTTGTATTCTATAGTTTATTATTATAATTTTTCATTTTCCATATCTGCAATTCCTGTATTTTGGCATTTTTTTGCAGTCCACTTAGAATCCAACATGGAAATCAATGTTTTCTTTATTGGCATTGATTGTTTTGAAATTTAAATGTCATTAACATGCCTGTGTTTTAATTTCTGTAATAAATATGGTTCTCAAGCCAGGATCTTGATGGTTTATTGTGGGTATGTTGTTTACATGAAGAAATCTGTTACAAGTTAAACAAAAATTCTAATAAACAATTATATTTTGAATTTAAATATTTTTTGTCTTGCGTTTACATTAATTTTACATTTAAATAGCCAAAATTACAAGTTTCAGTATTTTAAATGCGATTAATCGTGATTAATCGCGATAATTTTTTTTAAAAAGGTGCGATTAATTAGTTAATTTTTTTTTAATCGATGGACAGCACTAATATATATATATCAGGGCTCGAAATTGCGACCATTTTGGTCGCATATGCGCCCGAAAATTAATCGATGCGACCTCATAATATATTTGGGCGCATTAGTGCGACCTGTTTTGATTTTTTTTAAAAACGTGCTGAATCGCTCTTCCCTGCCGCTATATTGGTTCATATTAGCTGTCAATCACTCAAGGCTATCCACTGTTAGATGACAGGGAGGGAGCTTTTATGTCCACGGGAAATGCAAACGGCTAAAGTGTAAAAACTTAAAGCACACAGGTTTGCAAAGTGCAAACCCCACCTAAAGTTGAGACGCAGATGAGAGCGATCATGACACGTGGTGAATATTGATCCGCCAGCTGAGATCAATCGAGTACGTGCTTTTCGGAGAAGGTGGTCGAATCTCGATGCGTTGCATTCACTGCGTGTTCAGCTCAAATGTCCGCTAAAAGTCAAATCTAATACTGTATCATCGCCAAAGAAGCTCGCCTTTACTAAGTTTACACTGAAACTGCGTCTCATAACAAACAGCGGTATTGCGCCGGTGCTCAACCTGCTCATAAATTGGGTCGGCTGACTCGCCTGCTTTTCCACAAACACAGAAAAATGAAAATCAGCTCAGACGGAACATTTAAATTGACACAAACTGAAACCAAAACTTTTAAAGAGTGATAGAAGTGAGACTTTACTTACTTTCTTTTGCCTATTCTTTCATGAGATGTATATATTTTTTTATTTAGTTACTGATGACTGTTTTGCAGCTTTCAGCCTTGAATTTAATATTTTATTATAATCTTTTGTTTGTTTTGCAGCTGAAATATTATTTATTAAACTGACATGCATATATATGCTGTTTAGCAGTACAAAATAAATATTTCTTACTGCAATGCTTCATTTTTGTTTGATGCAAACTATACATTTATTTTTCAGAAAGTAACAGACTTTTTATAGCAGATAACCTACATTCAAGCACATTCAAGGCAGCATGATGATGAGAAATGTAATTCATTGTTACTATTATTGTCATTTTCATCATCATTAATATTCTAGAATTATTAGACATACACATTTTGGAATTATTGCACACAAATATCAATGTCATCTCAGCATTAATTATAGTTGTTTCTGGTTTTTGTTAGTCCTAATTGATGTTGTTTTAAAATACAATATGTCCCTTAAAATACAATTTGCAGCGGTGCTCAATCATTTTTGGTGGGTGCTCCTAAATTTTTTCTGGTGCTCCTAAATTTTTGAAGTTGGGAGCACCGGTGCTACCAAATAAAAAAGTTAATTTCGAGCCCTGTATATATATATATATATATATATATATATAAACGTCTTATGTTTTAATAAAATATAATTATCAATAGAATTGTTAATTTAACAATAATATTAATATAATTATTTATGTGATGCATTTATTTTATCTCTTTTTTATTGCAGTTGACAATTGACACAAATCAAAACATTATTTTTAATTCATTTATTTATTTTTATGTCATTAGAGGCAAAACTTTTGAAATTGGCATAAAGCACACAAATCAACCAACATTTTATTTAGCGTTTTAATAATTGCAGATAATATTTTAAGGAAAATAAATGTTTTGGAAAATGTTTAATTGAATTATTATTATATATAGATTTTCTATGTTTTAAAAAATATATAAATATGATTAAAAGGTTTAATATAACAAAAATATTACAATTTCCAAGTTATTCATTTTTGTCAATTTTATCAATTGACAAAAGCACACAAATCAACCAATAATTTAGATCAATGTCAAAATAAATACAGGTAATAATTTAATTCTGGAAAAATGTGTTTGAAATTTTTTTTTAAATAATACAAATAAATATAAAATATATATTTTCCTATTTTGTTATCAAATATAAATATAAGAGTTGTAAATAAAACAATAATATTACTAATACTACAGTTTCCAAGTTATGCATTTTACCTTGTATTTTTGCTTTACACAGCAATTCTCAAAAGCACACGAATCCCCATTGCTGCCACATTCAGCAGTACATTGTAAGTGCCCCATTATGCTTTTTCAGATATCGCCTTTAATGCAGTGTGTAATGTAGCTGTTTGTGAAGGTCTGCAAAGTTGTAAGATCAAAGTGCATAATAATTAAAATGATTGTCTGTGTTCTTTATAATAGAGAATCAATTCTGAACCATCAAATCTGCCCTTTTTTGTTTATTATGAGAGAATTCGCAAGTATGAGGCGCCATGTAAGGTTTACATCAAAATTCATCACTTCATGTTACTGGATACAAAAACAAACACATAAGAAAAAAAGGCTTACACATCCTCTAATAATGTTCTATCCTCTAAGAAAATTTCACAAGAAATCTCAACAGTGGATATAATTCCATTTAGCAAAAATGCACAAAAACTACATGCACACAATTGAGTAAACTTTATACCTGAAAAAAAGCATGAACTACATCATTGAGCATACGCATTAAAAAAGTCGTAACACATCATGTGATGAAAATAAGTGCGATATGATAGCATGAAATGACAAACCAGCAGACCAACCACACTGTAAAGCATCTGAAATGTTGTTTGGGTCAATCTAAAATTCCTTAGCCAAAGTCCATCATCAAAGTGGTTCAGTATTATTACCTTCCAGAACTGTCACACACCCCCGAAAGCCACAGTGTATTCATAACATTTTGTCTTTTTCTTCTGACACAGAATCCTAACTACACCAAGACCCGCAATCAAATCTTTTCTATGTTTAAAGGAATTTGGTTCTAACCATATGCGACAGTAATGCGCAAATTTTTTTTTTTTTTTCGTGACTTTGCAGCAGAACAACAACATATTTTACTATAACAAAGATGCCCTCAGGTACAGATTATGTGCTTTATTCAGTGTTAAATGCTACTAGTGGGTGAAATGCCAATTTACTTGCCATTTAATCTGATACTACTCAAAGCAGCAGGACAGTTCACCTCAGATCTTGAAAATAAAATTACTAGAGGATGGTTTGAAAATTAAAGTCTTGAAAGAACTGTGATTCAGTGCAAAAAACAAATCAAGTTACCTAATAATAATGTTAAAAAGGTCAAATATGTATTAATTCGGCGAAGCAGTGGCGCAGTAGGTAGTGCTGTCGCCTCACAGTAAGAAGGTTGCTGGGTTGCTGGTTCAAGCCTCGGCTCAGTTGGCTCAGTCCAAAGACATGCGGTACAGGTGAATTGGGTAGGCTGAATTGTCCGTAGTGCATGAGTGTGTGTGTGAATGTGTGTGTGGATGTTTCCCAGAGATGGGTTGTGGCTGGAAGGGCATCCGCTGCATAAAAACTTGCTGGATAAGTTGGCGGTTCATTCCGCTGTAGCGACCACAGGTTTAATAAAGGGACTAAGCCGACAAGAAAAAAAATGAATGAATGAATTATTTCGATTAAAAACCTTTACTTCACTTCTGTCATGTCACGTCACTTTTGGTGCAGACAGCCAAATTGCTTGTCACTGGATTCTTATTGTGTCATGTGTTATTAGGACACGTTGTGAGGACACACACACACACACACACACACACACACACACACACACATATATATATATATATATATATATATATATATATATATATATAAAAATATATGAGCGGAGTTTCTTCCTGATGCATCGGGAAGAAAGTGGTGGAAAAATGACAAACTTTAATAAACTTTAGTGAATAAACATAAAACAAACAGGCAGCAGCAGACCCTCATGGCCACTACCAACAAACTGATAGCAAAACAAAAACTAAAGGCCTGGTCTTTCCTCGTCTTCCACTGCTATATCTCCTCCTATTTAGTTTCCAGAGCTTCTCTGTGAGACTTGAGACTGGTGGTGCAGAAAGGTGACAGTCGTTAACACTCAGGCCACCAGCCTCATTCCACTTTCACGGCTCTCAGCCCATGATAAAAATAAATAAATAACAGTTTCTATTTAGAAAAATGTGTCTTGTTTGTTGATTTAGGTCATGTGATTCATATTTCGCACTCCGAACTTCTGTTAAGAGTGCATACTAAGACTTTTCAGGGTGTGAACGATTTAGTGCATTGGAAGAATTTTGAGACTGAGGCAGCACTTAAAACAGCTGCTGACCTGATCAGTGCACAGCCTCCTGAACAAGTGTGCTGATTGAAACACACCGCAACAATACAAAGTCTGTGAAGGTCAAAGGTCAAATATTTCTAAAATTCTCTAATAACAAAATTATCCAAGTTATTCTGTCCCCTCGGCATTGCTCAACTATAAAACCGCGACCTCTGAGGCAGAGCAATGCAATCCAGCACTCCAGAGATGCCACACACGACTGATCATTTAGCAATCGTTTAGTTGTGCAATTGACTGTTTTTCTAGTCAGGCAGACTATTGCAACATTGAGAATACAAGCGTGAGAAACTTACCTCGTAGTGTGTGCTTGTTGGGCCACTGAAACCATGGTAATAGCAGCAGGTACAGAAGGTAGACTAAAGACAAGGCATTGTAGCGAAATATGCAGGCTGTGGAAAACACATGAGAAAAAAAGAGATTAGTTTGTACAGAAACATCAAACACTGAATCACAAACAGTTGAACAGTCAAAATTATTCACCCTGCTGTGATTTTATTTTTTTAATATTTCTAAAACTACGTTTAACAGAGCGAGGATTTTTTCACAGTATTTTCTATAATATTTTTTTTTCAGCTTTTTTGCTTTATTTCGGATAGAATAAAAGCAGTGTTTAATTTTTAAAAACCATTTAAGTCAAATTATTGGCCACTTTAAGCATTTGACTACAGAAAATAAACTTTGTTATACAATTACTTGCCTAATTACCCTCATAGATATTTACATTAGATGTCGTCTACGCTATTGTTGTCTATTGAAAGGAATGCGTCAATAGAGCCGCCATTTTAGTATCAGGTAGCGCTCCTTTGAAATGAATGTTGGACCAAGGTGCAGTGGACTAGGACTAGGACTAGGCCATCCATTCTGGACTAGGCCATCCAGAATCAGAGATATAAACACATATACACATAAATCTATGATACGGTCCGTATGCGATATCTAGTGTTTATATCTATGAATTAACCTCACTTGCCTTATTAACCGAATTAACCTAGTTAAGCCTTTAAATGTCATATTTAGCTCAATAAAGTATCTTGAAAATATCTAGTAAAATTTTATTTACTGTCATCATGGCAAATATAAAATGAATCAGTTACTAGAAATGAGTTATTAAAACTATTATGTTTAGAACTGTTTTTAACGAAATCTTCTCTCAGTGAAACAGAAATTGGCTAATAATTTAGGGGCTAAGATTTCTTACTTCAACTAATACTTGCAAATTACAGTATTGAGCAAAATAAATAAATAAATGCAATTCTCCAAAAACCGTGAACCGAAAATGTAAAGTTTTGCTAACAAAAATAAAGAACTGCAATGTTAAAATTAAGTTGACAAATAAAAATTAATTTGCAAACAAAAAAAGAACTGCAAATAAATATCAAGCAAAGCGAAAAACTCTAAAATATTTGCATATATATATATATATATATATATATATATATATATATATATATATATATATATATATATATATATATATATATATATATATATATATATAGTATAGGCAAATCATGTTTATAGCATTGCCTTTACAAAACCTGTCCAGTCAATTGCAATTCATTTTTATTAGTTTTTTAGTCAATCGTAAGTTTGCAATGCTGTTTTCACTTTATACTTCACGTTTCAGAGTTTTTCACTTTGTGGCCCTGATTTGATAAGAGGTGGAGTCAAGGGAACTTGGGCTTTTACAGGCCTGCCTGTAAGTTCCCTTGACTCTGCCCCCTTGTCAAATCAGCAAATCAGAGACACAAAGTGAAATGCAAATAATTAAATTGTAAATATATATATATATATATATATATATATATTTATTAAAGATTTGCATCTTTTTTTTTACCCAATACCTTATTTTTTGTTTGCAAAACTTTCTTTTATTTTGCTAGTATATATGGCCCTATTGACTCCATAAATTTGACTTTTCACAATGTTGCAGCAAAAAGGTGCTCTTTTTATATCCAAGCAGAACTGCGTTCAAATAAACCCTCAGTACTCAAGTCTTTGATAATGTCGATGGTACCCTCTTGAACCTTTAATTGCTCTAATCAGGCAGGGAGCTCAGTGTGTAAAGCATTCTGGGACTAGTTCCCATAACTTTGAGAGGTTGCCAAGGCATACAGGAGTTCCCTGCCTCCTGCTGCGAACAGAGAATGAAGGGTTTCCCTGACTCGCTTTTTCCAACACCACCTCAGATTCTCCAAAACACTTTGCTGTCCCTCAATCTCGAACTCAAGTAAATAACTGAAGTCTTTGTTTGAGAAGTCTGTCTCTGGCTAGTGGCCATAAAGTGTCTCGGGCCTGAAGGCTACAGAGCTGAAACTACCATTACCATGCAGGAACAAAGACCTACAGTGTTTCTGGGGCAGTTCATATAGCCTCATGACTTCACCAGAAAAACAGTCTATTATTGTGAGGGGAAACTGTGATGGAAATCCCAGAGGTGAACTTGGAAAGCTGGTTTCTTTGATAGCCCTTGGTGATCGAAGTCTTTATAAATGCGATGGAAGGATCTAGCTTTGATGAAAGCTCTGAGAAATGAGAAGCTGCGGAGTGATCAAAGCGCGGTTCTGCCGGAGTCACCTGAGGCTCATCTGGCTAACACTGAAACAGCAGCAGCTGTGATCTAATAGAAACACAGCAGGGGCTGGTAAAACACTAATCATAAGCAAGCACTGGAGGCTTATGGCTTATTTTTCCAACTACTCCTGTTGCACTAACCGCACTTGGCAGAAGAAGTGTGCAGAGAGCAAGATAGGAGTCACTGTCAGGAATCTATTAAAATACTAAATATGTTTGAGAATTATAATGTAATTGGTTTTATGTGGATTTTATTATGTTGTGTAGTTGTTGTTTTTTGTTGTTGTTTTTTTTAGGGCGGGGGGGGGGGGGGTTTGGTTGGGGGGCTGTGATTTTTTAATAATATGTCATATTAAGTGATTCTTGTTTAAAATATGGCCAACAAACTTCTTTTTGTGGCATTAAACACTGATGACTATAGCTGAATGACATCATGCTACATATCTTATTGTAATGTGTGGCATGGAATGACCCAAACCATATATTTTGATGTTTTTTATCAAATATAAAGACTATTCAAATGAATAAAATTATATTTCCATATGTTTGCTTCCACTCAAATAACCATTATAAAAAAGTTTACTCAAATTACATTTACGTTTAGTCATTCAGCAGGCGCTTTTGTCCAAAGCAACTTACAATTGCGATTAAGTGATTCAACAAAAATTACAGCATAAATCTGCAGATCATAAATTATAAAATGCAGCATAAATATGTTTACTCTGAATATTTTCATTTGTTAAACTGTATGAGACTGGATTAATCTAAATATATTAAAACTATGATTGTGATGTATTTGCGACGCAGTGTCGCAGTAGTTAGTGCTGTCACCTCACAGCAAGAAGGTCGCTGGTTCATGTTTACATGTTCTCCCTGCGTTCGCATGGGTTTCCTCTGGGTGCTCCGGTTTCCCCCACAGTCCAAAGACATGCGGTACAGGTGAATTGGGTAAGCTAAATTGTCCGTAGTGTATGAGTGTGAATGAGTGTGTGGATATTTCCCAGAGTTGGGTTGCAACTTGTAGGACCTGCACTGCGTAAAAACATGCTTGATAAGTTGGCGGTTCATTCCGCTGTGGCGACCCCAGATTAATAAAAAGACTAAGCCGAAAAGTAAATGAATGAATGAATTATGATGTATATAAAACACATTCGAGTTCACTAGTGCACTTACAACCAAACACACTGTTTAATTTATGCTATCTGATCAATATAAAACTGTTTTTTTATATCTTCATGTTGTTCTCATATCTTGAATTTAGGCATTATTATTATTATTGTGATTATTACTTCCTTTATTTAGCCAGGAGATCACATTGAGACAGTATTGTCTCTTCTTCCAGTGAGACCTGGTCAAGATGCCATTGAGCACATAAAGTTTCACATACAAATCACAAAAAAAAAAAAAAAAAAAAAACAATACCACACAATATTCAAAATCACCATTCGTACAAAGATCAGATCATAAAAATAATTACAAGTATATTTTATTATGTTGTACAGAAGATGTTTAAAAGTACTCAGAGTCGGAAGAGATTAAGCTGATTTTGCAGGTCATTCCAAACCCTATAGGAGCATAAAAGGAAAAGCATGTTTGCCAAGGTCTGACAATACCCTTGAGGCTGTTAAAGGAATACAGAAACCAAATCTAGAGTGTTGGGTATTTATGTGAAATGTTAACAAATTAGAAAGATGGGATGGTAGTTTACCTAGGAGAGCCTTTAAATTAAATAAGTACAAATGTAATATCCTCCTTTGATATAAAGATAACCAGTCTAAGGAATCGTACAAAATACAGTAATGCATCCGTGAGTCTGCACCTGTGTCAAAGCGTATCGCTGCATGATAAACAAAATCTAGTTTTTTGAGTAGCGGCTGCATGCATATATAGATGATCACCATAATCAATTATAGACAAAAATGTAATCTCTACAAATGTCTTACTGTCCTTATGAGGAAAAAAAATACATAATAATAATAAAAAAAAATACTATTTAAGAAACCTAATTTTGGCCTAAGCATTTTCAATAGCTTGTCAATGTGTAAATCAAAGTTAATCTCTTGTGAATCTAAATACCTCGATATTTGTAGGAGCTAACTCTTTCTATTTGTACACCATTCAACGATGTAATTGTTTGGTCTGTTACCTTAGTAAAAATCAGTGTCTCTTCTAAAAAATATATCTAAATAAAAAAAATATCTAAATAATAAGCAGTGTCTCTTCTAAATAAAATGACTCTTGTACATCCTGTAAATAATATTTTAAACAGTGCATTTCTTGATCTTCTGTAAACAAATATTTTACTGTAAATAATAATTTTGATGCAATGGAGAATATGCCATCTTATATTTGTAGGAGCTAACTTTTTCTATTTGTACACCATTCAACAATGTAATTGTCTGGTCTGTTACCTTAGTAAAAATCATACATTTAGTCTTTTTTGAATTTAAAACCAATTTTAAATCCTCCAACTTACACTTGAATACTTGAAAAGTGTTCTGTAAAATACTGTACAGCTAGGTTTAAGGAGTGTGCAGCTGTATATATTGTTGTATAATCTGCATACAGGTGTTTTTTTTTTTTTTTTAACTGAATCTATTCCATGACCTAAATTGTTAAGGTAAATAGAAAATAACAACACAGCTAAAACAGATCCTTGGGGAACCCCAGTGTTGACGTTAAGAAAGGTTGAATTTATATGACAATTGTTTTTATTTCAACAGTCACACATTGAGTGCGTTCTGAAAAATTATTTTCAAAATTTTGTGTGTGCAGTGGAATAATTTCAGATTCATGCTCCTTTTTGATGACTTTT